ACAAAATATTATACTTTTTTATGCAAATGTTGTTTCTGTGGCCAAGATAAGTTTTGAATTAGCAGTAGCAGTATTCATAAAAGTTTAGTTTAGTACATTTTGTCATTTTTATACAAATATTGTTGTATCTTTTATTAATAATTAAGTATAGCATAACACATAAATGTACAGGGTGTTTCTCGTACGTAGTCCGTTGGAAGTTTCTAGGGAATCTCGAAAGACATCGATTTAAAATTTTAATAGCGTAAATTATTCGTTTTAGATTTTTTTCCTTAATTATTTTGTACAAAATAATACTTGCTGTTTTACTGGAAATGTCTTTACCTTTGTTATTTTAAACAGGACACCTCATATATTTTGACATTTTTAAATTCTACATAAAATTCTGAGTAAAATGGCTATACCATATCCTATACCTAAAGTTAATATTTTTCGAGTTATTAATTTTTCAAATAAATATTTTAATTAATTTTAAAAAATGACAGATTAAGTGGTAACCATGGATACTGTCACATTCACCCACATGTAGAATTTCACAGCTTTGTTGATACAAAATAGTATTGAAAATATAAGAAATTGTTAAATGTCTCTGAAATTTTATCTTTAAAAAACCGTTATTATAATACCTTTTCCATTTGATTATGTTAAAACATACAGGGTTTTACATTTATAATAAAAACGTTATTATTGTTTGAAGTTTTCCTAATTTCAAATGGTTTTTCTCAAGCTATTTAAATTATTTAAACAATGTTTTAATATTCCAAAAATTCCAACCTCATGTCAGCAAACCTAATAACAAAAAATTAGCTATTTTTGATTGACGTGCATTTAGCAAAATTTTAACTAAAAAAATTAATATCTTGAAAACTATTGACTTTAGGTATAGTCTAAATCAAATTGTATACGCTATTAAAATTTCAAATCCATATCGTTTGCGTTTCTCCAGAAACACCCTGTATAGCATTATATTAAATATAACAAAATGCAAAATAACTAATTACAAAAAAGCGAAAAACAACTGAATAAAAAATATAAATATATCTAAATAGGCGATCGCAACATTAAAAATAAAGTCTTTATTCTAATTTATTTATTGGGTAAATATTACTTTCCTCAGTTTGGAATTAAAATTGAAGCTTGCTTATCGAGTAAAAAATAAATTAAACCTTGGTTGAGAGCAAAAAATAAAATTAAAGTAGGTAATAAATTCTAACTTGCTATTTGTTTGTAAATATTTTAAGATTAAAAACCCAGCCTAATTTGTCCAAAGTAATGTCAAACTGGCTGTGTGGTTTACCTTTGTTCCACAACCTACCTTAATTGTTTAATTGTAAATTACGTAATAGTTATTTGTGTTGAAAAGCGACTTTTTCATGCGAGTGTTTAAGTTGCCCACGAGGCTGTTAGGCCGAGTGTGCATTAACACGAGCTTGAAGAAAGCTTTTCTCACAAGTGAAACACAAGGTTTTTTCTCCGACCCTTTTATTTTTTATTACATTCAAATACAAAACAAAATAACCTAAAAACGTGTTTGACAGCTGTTAAAATTCTTTTATCTCATTCTTTTAATTTAAATAAAGGCCCTAAAAACTAGAATTTATTATACAAACACAATTAATTGAGTTTTAAATGATATTTAGACATACATATACAAATACAATACAAAATTTGAAACGAATGTCAAACGAAATGTCACTTATCATTCGTGTTTTGCCTTGCCAATGAAAATATCCATTTTCTAAGCAACGATGCCAATACGAAATGTGACTTTTACATAGTGGTCGTAGAAAAAAAATGTTTATTGGCAAGGTTACTTTATTTTCGTATAGAAGTCGATTTATAGAAATATTTATTTAATTTAAATAATTTTTTAGATAAAAAAACCTGTTTTTTAAAATATCATAAAAGGCTAATTGTTTCACTACATACCTATAGGCAGCCCTGGATTAAGAAGGGTCTTTTGGGGCTATAGCCCCAGGCCCTGCCATTCAAAGGGCCCCTCGACATCTTATTATTTAAAAGTCAGATACATACATAATTTTACAATATTTATTTATTTTTTTATTTTTAGGTACGTCTCCCTAAACTACTCCTGTCAACAAATTAAGGTAAAAATACAACAACCAAATAAGTTTTATTTTATGTATTTCAATAAATTAAATAAAAACAACATAATCATCGACATAAATATATACAAAAAATCATCGAAATTAGAAGATATCCTCAGTGTGGCCCCCTGGAACGCCCCTGACTGAGTACATGACGGAGCTACCGTGAGCTGCTTTGCTGACCGAAGCTGTTCCGGTCAAGTCGATTTTCGGGCCGTCCGATAACGGTACAGCTTCCATGCTAAAATTTTGTTTACGAAAAAAATGTAATTTTTAACTAAATATTTATGCAACTCCTACCCGGTGACCCTGTATCCGTTTTGGTCGGCAACATAATGGACGGTCCTTTTGTGGTACCCGTCGCTGTACGAGTACATTCCGGACACGGCCAACCCCTCCCTTTTTTCAGCCCTCTGATTGGTCGAATCGCTTATTTTGTCGTCGATATTTTGATTGAATTCGTATCTGCAATAAAAAACAACGTTAAAAATTTTTGGCCACCAATTCGTCCAGATTTATGTCCTGTTGATTTTTACCTGGCAGCTTCGTTTTGGTGGGCCAAATATGCGCTGTAAGCGTCGCTTTCGGCTTGAGTCTGCGGTCTGGCGTAGGCGATAGCCAATAGGACAGCCAGGCAAATCTACCAACAAAAAAAAATAATTTTTGCTATTTTCTTAACAATGTTTTAGTAAAGTTACTTACGAAGAATTTCATGTCGTTATTTTGTGTTGACAAATGATCTAGTAGGTACTGATGATTTAAAATAATTTAGGGCTTTTATACTAAAGCCTTAATTATTATGAATGTATTGATTTTATCGATATACCTAGTATTAATTTTTAATTTACCAATTTCTAAGTTGTTAATTGTTTCAAATATCTACCTGAAAAATTTAATTATCTACATTTTTGGGTCTGTCATTTATGCTACTGCGACAACAAATTGTAACAAATGCTAAATCGTATATACATAATTTCATTATCTCAATACAAAAATACACAAGTATTTAAATACACATTGACAAGTTGTGGCTTTACGGCGTTTTAGTTACGGGCTTAACAGTTGTTAAATGTCGTACAATCGTTAAAATAAAGTGCCTTTCTTGTAAAATATTACTAAATGTGAAAATTTTTTTATTATCTCAATACAAAAATACAAAAGTATTAAATAGTTTCTCAACGCCAATATTTGAAAACTTTATATGAACATTGTACTGACCTTTTAATTTCGCCGGCAGTAAACTATAACTCAAATTCGGACTCCACTGTAAAGTGCTCATAAAACATTTTCTTTACTTTTACTGTAAAAAACTGTACATTTTCAAGAAATACATTTCGATTTATAACCTTTATAATCTGTGTTTATAAAATATTTGACATTTGACGGTGACACACAGATTCCCCTATTGTTTCATAGATGGCGCTCTATAAAAATATTTGATTTAAATCTTTTTAATAATAATAAGTATTTGTCGTAGAAAAAGTATAGTATGCACATCGTTTATAAACTTTTCTATACACTCATTAATTTAAGAACTCGCTCGTGCCTAAATTAAATTCGTGTATAAAATGGCGTTTATCAAACTTGATACATAATATACTATTAAAGTATAATATACATACTATATAAATAAAAGTTACTATTCTTTAAGATATGATTTTTGGTTTTGAGAGGGTTTTTTAAATTTTTAAATGCCATTAAGGACTTTTCTCTAACTTACCCCACCTTGCTTTTTAAATAAAAAAATATATACCTGTTTATATATGGACATGATTTGGAAAAATCCTGTATATGATTTTTAATGTAAATGTCTCGATGTTTTATAAAACAATATTTATAAATATGCAACCCAGTATACTTTTTAATGTAGTCAAATATAGTCAATAAAAGACATCTTTAAAATAAAAATGAAGCCTTACAGAGTTTACTTAAAAGTTTTGGAAAAATCATAACACCTTTAAACTGTTTACAGTACTATTGTTCTTAACAATAATATAATATATTAGTAGGTACAAGTAGAAATTTAAAATTTTTGGAAAATGTTTTAAGATGAAATTCCATTTTTTTAATAATTTATAATAATAAAATTAACAATTACAAAAACATAAAAAATTATTAGCTGCAAGAAACAATATTTTAGCATAAAAGAGTATTTATTGCTTGAAGAAAAAAGTTCTTAGTTGAAGAAGTATAGTTCTCTTGAAAACAAATACAAAATCTCTTGAATGTTACTTCTTTCAAAGTGCAAAGTGTTTTTGTTCAAAAGCAATTCATTCGAGATACATCACAATTATCCCAATAGCATGTCAATTTTACAACAAAATCTGGTAGCTCACACCGATTGCGGCACACGTGTTTAGTACGTTTTGTATCATTGCAACTTGCAATTCGCCATTTTCTAGGGGCAGTGATATAACATTATAATTCTATTATAGGTATTTGTAATATACATTTTGCCGGTTGTGTTGTGTTGTGGCGTGTTGTATTTACTTTCACAGTGGAGTTGTAATCATTAAAACTCTTTTTATATAAATTAAATTTAATTAATTTGTCTAATGTTAGATCTCAGTTTTGTAGACCACAGATTTTAAGTAAGTAACCCCATAAGAAAAAGTCTAATGGTGTCAGATCTGTTGATCTTGGAGGCCATTCTATTGGTCCTCATCTACCAATCCACTGTTCTGGATAATTCTGATTCACCCAAGTCCTAACAGCTACTACATAATGAGGTGGTTGAGGTGGTTTTAGTATTTGTAGCTGGTTTGATATTTTATTGGTCATGATTTCACAAAATTCTAAACGTCTGTCTGCATCATCATCCCCAAATTCTTGTGTGATATGCATTCCTGACAGACTTACCAAACTGACCAAGAACCTCAATATGGACTTGAAACGTTATAATGAATTATATTATAAACAATCAGGGAACACAGACAAAAGAAGACAAAACATTTTATCCACATTTAACCTAAAACAATACATACCTATGTTAAATGACACTGTTAATACATGGCAAATATGTTACCTTACAAACTAGTTTAGCTAATAATAATAATACAAAAACATAACATATTATCACAGAAAAACATCACCACCAATAAGTTATTGCATGTAGCCCCAATCCTGTTTGATCATGTCGGAGCCTTTCTCTGCAATCATGAAGGTGGGGGCGTTCGTGTGGGCTGCCGGAATTTCGGGGATCACCGAGGCATCGACGACCCTGAGCCCCTTGACCCCGTAGACCCTCAGTCGGGGGTCGACCACGGCCCTTTTGTCCGATCTCGGACCCATCTTGCAGGTGCCGCTTTGATGGTAGATGGTGAAGGTGAAGTGCCTGGCCATGCATTCGAAATACGGGTCGGTACCGAAGCCCAAGTGTGCGCATTGCGGGATCGGTATCGCGTGAAGTTTGGCGCCTATCTTCTGCAGCGCCGGTTGTGAGGTTATGTTGAGTATAAGGCGCACGCCTTTGATAATTGTGTCTATATCGTCTTGTTCGGCGAAGTAGTTGGGGAATATGTAGGGTTTGTGTTGGTACGACGGGCTCTTCAGCATGATTCTCCCGCGGCTTTTGGGCCGGAGTAGCATGGGGAACGCCATGAAGGTTTCCTCGTCTTGGATGGGCTTGTAGACGGCGTCGTAGATTTCATCTGTGATGCCGAAATCTTTTCTAAGCACCGGATCGGATACTATCGAACCGCCTTGGAAGAGAATCTCTATGTCTGGGTAACCGTCTTTGTCCGTGGGGTTTTCCAAGTCTTGAAATATCAGCACCTCGCAACCGCCTGGTATCGTCATGGGTCCTTTGTGCTCGTTAAAGTACAACTTTAGATTCTCGGTGGTGATAATTTTATCCGTCCTCAGGGATTTGAAAGTGTTGTTGACGATAAACGTCAAACCACCCAGAGCTATGTGGTCCATCAGGTTGTGTCCCACCTTCAGGTTACTTATCACGGGCAAGCCCATTTTCGTCAGGTGCTTTTTCGGGCCCACCCCCGACAGCATCAGCAGTTGCGGCGAGTTGATTGCACCTCCACTCAAAATGACTTCCTTCGAAGCTTTCACTCGATACGGCACGTTATCTCGTACAAATTCAACGCCAACGGTCTGCTTCGTGTTCGGGTCGATCAGGATTTTCGACACCATCGCCTGTTTTTTCACGTGCAGGTTCGGGCGATCTCTTATTGGGTGTAGATAGGCTCTGCTAGAGCTTTCACGGACACCATCTCTTAGGGAGACTTGCAGCCTGGAGACGCCCACCTGAACGAAAAGATTAATTTTTTTTTTAGTTTTTAAAGTCTCCAGCTAGATTTGTCGAGTTGTAAAAAGGGTAACTTCCCTCGAGCGAGAGCTCTAAAACCAAAAAATAATTTCTCAAAAGTGCAAACAAATTATAGTGAAACAACTACAGTGAGTATAGACTACCCTACGGTCAAGAATGAGTTAAGAGTTAAGTAATAAGAAACAGATAAGTGACAAGTAAGCTTCTTAAGTGACAAGTTTCAGCTTCTGGGTCAAACAAGAGGGGAAGAGGCCATCCGCAAAAAATTGATAAGTATCCTTAAGCATATGCATTAGACTGGGCCAAAAAAATCGACAATTTTTTTTTTTAAGTATTTTACAATTTGGAATTTTGTAATTCAAGTAAAAATCAGTACCCTGAAAAAAAAACGATAAATATTCTTCTGGGAAATCAAATGCTCTACAAAAAAAGTCTTTTATCATTTTTGGCTAAATTTACCCCATCAAAAGTTATTCAAGGTTAAATTTGAAGTCAAAGCGAAATTTTAACCTTGAATAACTTTTGATTGAGTGAATTTAGCCAAAAATGTTAAGAGGCTTTTTTTGTAAAGCATTTGATTTCCGATAAGAATATTTAAAAGATCAAAATGTAAAACTATACCAATTTTTAAGGCATGATTTTAAGGAAACGGTTCATCTGACGGAAAATTTCACTTTAACCTTTTTTGTACAGCATTTAATTTTCTTAAAAAAATATTTTCAAGTCAATTTTGTTAAACTCAATGGTTAGGAGTTCTGAGCCTACACAGTAAAAAAAAAGCTTCGGGTAAAATGTACATCTTGAGTGGTAAAATTCTATAGTGTAAATTTTTACACTATTGCAAATGTAAAGTCACATTTTTCTACACTCAAATGAACCTTTACTAGTGGTTAATTTCAAGAAAGTATTTATCATTATCTTGGTGTTAAAATACTCACCTGGGTGCAAAATGCTGTTATTAAAAACTATTTCATGAGTGTAAATAGTATTTTTCCGACTAAACTTGAACTAAATTTGGTAAATTGTATCGTACCAGTGTAAAACGTTTCTGGAAATGGTAATTTTACCACCAACGAATTGCAAAGAAAACACTCCTGGGTGTAAAAAGAATTAGGTAAACCTCTCCAATTAGAGCACCTCCCTCGGCAGTACGACAAACGATAGCTAACGTGGTTGTGTGCTGTGTGCCATATTGATGTGTTGAAAAACATGCCTATTTTTAAATTACAATACAAGAATAGTGTTAAATACTGTAAAATAGATATTACTAATGATTCTTATGAGGATATTGTAAGACTAGGTAAGTATATATACATTTTATTTTAAAATCGACTTTGCTAACCGCTTTTTTTAAAACATGACGGCCATCCATCAGTATAAAAAATAAGAGAAAAGCAATATGTGCATGAGTACCAGATATTTTATCTCTTTTGTGTTGAAGGACATTGAATATAATGTAATTTGGTAATTTGTCTAATACTTCTCATAAATACTCGTAGAAAAAAATAAGTAAACTTAAGGAAGTAACAAGCATATATTTAGACATGTTTCTGATGTGTCCCGTCCATGGGCTTGGAATGGACGTCATAATATTATTTACTAGTTTATTTAAAATGTAAAATTTGAAAACGTGTAACTTTAATATTTAAGAGTACCTGTAAGATAAGATTGAAATGTATTACCGACTCGGATAAATACAGGGTCTTTTAAATATGATAAATCAAAACTGTTATTAGATTAGATAGATATATATATATATATATTTTTTTTTTATTTTTATTATTTTGTTAATAAAGTGATAATATTTTTAAATATTTGGCATAATTTCTAGAAGCCCATCCCCAATATTGAATTTTTTTAAAATTTACACTGTATCGAGTTTAATTATACACTCTAATAAATAAAAATTACACCCAGATTTGTATAATTTACTCTCTTAAAAAGTGAGTTCTACACTCCAATAAATAAGTTTCACACTTAATACTGTATTTATTACTTTTCCGCAAGTGTACTTTTACACTCTAATAATTCGATCATACACTCATAGTTTCTAATTTACCAATTTAAAAGGTTTTCTTCTGCACTCTATATTGAGTCTATTTTACACTGAATTTGCTTAGTTTTACACTCGAACGTGTATAACAACGCGGTACTTTTACACGTTGTTAAACTAGTTTTACTCGTATGTGTGTTAAAAAGGTATAGGTTTTTACACGCATTGACATAGCTTTTACCAGTTTTAATTATGTTAAAAATACCATATTTTACACTCAGAAATATAAATGGATTTTACACTGAAACTGCTGGATCTATATGCACCACTCATGAGTGTAAACTGAGTGTAAAATTTTACACTCAATTTTTTACTGTGTAAAACTTGCTGAGAAAAAAAATTAAAATTGCGATGATAGACCTCTTAATAATAATATTATGGACTTAAACTTTCACAATATTTTTTTTTGTCACCCCATACCATATTTTCGATATACTTTAAAAAAAAATCGTTGATTTTTTTGGCCCAGTCTAATATGCATGATCTAACACATAATTTGCAAAATTAAACACGACAGATACCTTTAAAATTCTAAGAAAGGTACACTGCAATAAACATCAGTAACAATAGAAACATTAGAAAGACAATACTAACCAAACACCATGAAATAATGAAGAAAAAAAAAAACAAACAACAAGGTTCGATATATCGCGGTGATATACCAAAGCTGAGTAGGACAATAAATCTGTCAACAACAAATGCTTAAGGCCCCAACAAAACAACGTTATTTTAACCCAAACGAGACCAATAATAAACATTTGACACTTAAAACATAAACTAACACTAAATAAATCATGAAAACTATCTTACTTGTTTAGCACCGTTATAATCCACGTAATCGAACCCATTCTGCTGACTAGCTTCGATAATGGCATCGGCTATTTTAGTCTTGAAGGGAGCGTAACTAACCCCCAAGTGGCCTTCCTGGCTGTGATACGGGGAATCCTGATAAGCCGGGATGCTGAAATTCTCCACTTTCTTGAAATAAGGCAGGACGTCCTCGAACGACCATCCGGAATTACCCATAGCGCTCCAATGGTCGTAGTCTCTGCGGTTGCCTCTGGTGTAGATCATGTAGTTCAAAACTGACGAGCCGCCTATGACTTTGCCTCTAGGCCAGTTACATTGGCCGTTGTCCATACCTACAATAAACAAAATAATTTTAATATAATAATAATAATAATAATAAACTTTATTAGCCCAACAGGGTTTCCCCCAATTACAGGACAAAATACATCTTAAGTAAATATTCCAAAATTTACATTGTATATATATACAAATTTATACACAAATAAATGACTATTTAAATATATCGCATGTATTGGAGTTTTTGCATATAATACAGAAAAATGTATCTTATAGTCGCATCCAATTCTGCATGGTTTTACGTCACCAACGGCATATGACGTCAGCGTTAAGGTCTATTCATACGTGCCCAGGCACAATCTCGTGTATTGTCGACTATAGCGGTTTATTTATTTAAAAAATCTAAGAAACGTTTTAAAACAGGGAAATTGTTTCAATACTTGGTAAACAATTCGCAAATGATTGTTAGTTTTTTATAACACATCAGAATTACGCCTAAAAAAAATTTAAAGGCAGTACTACAAGTTTATTATGATTAGTAATAAAGCTATGATTTAACAAACATTTTATTTAGAAATTTGAATTTGTTACTTACCCATACAAAATTTCTTGCTAGGTTCAGTTTTGTATTTCCAGTTGGTTTCTATGAATTGCAGGTAATTGGCGAGAATAGGCATGTCAAACATGTAGTTTTCACTATTTCCTGTAATTATTACAAAAAATTATATAATAGGGTAAAGTAGACAGTTTATAGTTATTGGACAATTGACATTAATATTGTAAAACAAGAGTTCTATAAATAGTTACCTTAAAGTCAAATCATTAGATGACGCTGTATACAATTATAACTATCTCAGTCGGTAATAATGTAGAACTACTTTATTTTGGGTCCAATTAGGACAAAAAAGTTCGCACGTTACTTTGGTGGTAAGATTTTTGTTTTTTTGTTAAGAGCAGGGCTGTGTTTAAATTTCAATAAAAAATATTTTTTAAAAGTTTACAGATCAGTGTGTGTTGTATAAATGGTTTAAACATTGTCACTTTAATGCATTTTAATTTTAATTCTGCCATTGTCCAATTACTGGTTGGTAAAAATGTAAATTTTTATTATTGGACACATGTCCAATATCATACTCTATTTGTATCCCGGACATTTACCAGCCAATTCTTATGTAAAATTGTCCCCTGAATCCAAAAAGACCTTCAAAAACTATAAAAGTTAAGCAGTTTTTAAGATATAGTCAATTCCATATTATATGTAAAATTGATTATATTTCAAAAACTGTTCTACTTTTATAACTTTTGACGACATTTTCGGATTCAGCGAATATTATTTCATAGGAATTGACTGCTAAATTTCCTGGATACAAATTGCTGTTGACGAGAATTATTAGTGGCCGCTTTTTCGCTATAGTCCGGGAGGCAGTGAATATTTTCGGTACTTATTTTCCCAGTTTGTGAATGTCATTAAGTTTGTTCAAATGGTGACACAAAACGACAATTTGTGTGTCTGGCTAAAATTTTCGGATGGGTTCACTAGATGAGCCAAAAAGTCAAGTCCACTTATTTTCCCAGTCATAAATATTTCACATTAATTAAAGTGAGTCATTTTATTAATGGAAATAACAGTCTGGCACATCCCAAGTGAAGGAAAGTCAGTCTGGCTGAAAATTTGCGGAAGCAAAAATTTGACCGGTTTTTGAAATACGTATACTATAGCCCTTATTTTCCCATGCTTAAAATTTAACCCATTATTTGGTACTGTCATAAACTATAATCAAAATTAAGTCTGGCTGATTTTTGAAATTGGCAAATTGTTCTGGCGGCATCTTGAAAATCGTAAGAATTACAAAAATTTTGCTCTTATTTTCCCGGATTTGAAAATTTGTCACATGATAAATAATACCGGTATACCATAATTTCGTTGAAAATACACGTCTGGCTGTTATTTACAATCACGAAAGCCCCGCCAGACTCACAAGAAACTCGCGTTTGAATGGGAATTTTTGCGATTTTCTTTTTTTTTATTGATATAACTCAAAAACTAAGGGAGATACAAAATACTGTCAAGAGATCGATTTTGTAGAGAATCCTACAAAAAACAACTGCACAAATTTTCTCGTATCTCTGATAGTTACAAAGTTATTCGCGAATAAAGTTTTTTGGTGGCGGATGGACTGACATTTTTTTTAGCCATATTTAAATTTTGCTTTACACAAATTATTTTCTTATCATACATTATGAAAAGTAAAAACATGTAGAGATGACAACAATCGCCTGTAAAATTGAACATGCCGAATTTAGCGCGCCTGTGGAGGGTTGGACAAGTCTGGCAAGGCTTTGGGAGTGTTCCACATTAGCCAGACTATATTTGCAGCTGTAATTATAATATAAACTATCATCTCACAAAATTTTTAGGACTGCGAAAATAAGGGCAATGGTTTTGATAATTTTTCCACCTGCCAGACATATTACCCATACTCACAGATTAGCCAGACTATTTTTTTTCTTAAGTTCACTATATCTCTCACTAATGGAATTATTTTTATCACTGGAAAAAAAAGTGCAATATATTTGTACTTTATAACGCATTTTCCGCCTTAACCCATCGGAAAACCCCCCCCTAAATATATATAAATTTTGCTCAGAATAACAAACCCAATAATTGTATCGGTGTTTGCCGACTGGTAAAATAAGTACCGAAAATCTTCACTGCCTCCCGGACTACTATGACATTTTTGACCAATTCATTTTTAGAGTAAGTAATATAGTGAATTCTTCGTCACAGGACATCTTGCAGAATAACAGTGATTTAAATACAGGGCATGATAGAAAACATAAAAAACTAATGGCAACAAAATGAATAAATTCGGAAAATACTTTTAACATACCACCCGAAAAAATATTAGATATATATAAATCATCCTGTTCCGGCCTAAACATTATAAATGCTTCACAAACTAGAGATACCACACTTAATGATATTTGCAACAAACTATTTCAGAAGTCAGGCCAAGGAATTAGTAGTTACCTTCAGAATCCAGAAAAGGGATGAGGAATCCGAGAAAGAAATATATGAATTATATGATATTTACAAAAACAAAATTACCTAAAACAGCAATTTATCTTTAAAAAATATTTAACAATTTATGTTATTTGATGTAAAGTTGTCATGTTTATATAAAAATTTTATTTCCAATAACTATGGTCCATGTGTCCAATTACTATATAAAATGTCCAATTACTATATTTTTTTGCATGTTTTTATAAAACTATTATTAAAAATTCAAATATTCTTATTTTAAGTAAAATATGTGGTTTTATAATAATTCTAAATTCTTACCGGCTTCAATTAAAAGCACATTCCAATCGGGGTTTTCCGATAACCTGTTGGCGAGAACGCAACCCGCCGTACCAGCGCCTACCACGATGAAATCGTAGCTCGCTCGCAATTGGTTCGTCGGCATGTCACGTGGCTCGAAGACGTTGTATTGCCGGTTGCCTGTCTCCAGCAAGTTGATGATGCCATCTATGAGGTTTCGCTCTTGCTGCTGTTGCTGGGTGACCACAGCGAAAAATATCAGGATGATTGAAAGTTTTTTCAGCATTTTTTAGTGACTGAAATAATAATAATAATAAAAATTAAAACAAGGTATGGGAACGAAAAATAAAGCAACAGAAACATGCAGTATGTTAAATGTAGCAAAAGTCTAAAGAGAAGAGCAGACAACAAAGAGAGTCTCCAAATAAATCATTCCTTCGTAATCCAGTGTTGCCGGATCTTTTATACGAGAATGACAGATTGATAATTTTGATTATCGTTTATTTTAAAAACTGATGCAACAACAAAGGGACAAAAAGTTTTAAGGAAGAAGTGTTTCTAGCCTATTTTGCGTATTTTAATTTGGATTTGAGTCTCTATTATAAATTAACATCATATATAAAAAAGAAAAATGTGGGATACCGACCAAAAAAATCCAAAAGTTTTGAGAAAGATGACATTTCAAGATTCGTTAAAGAAGCACCAGATGAAATTTACCTTTTAATAAAAGTTGCCACTATTTTTGGGTTGGCTGGTGCTTGTAGCCAAGAAGAGCTCTCAAAGATAATGATTGATGATATAGAAGATAAAGAAAATTTGGTAATCGGACAAAAAATTACACATCAAGAATCTTTGTGGTATCTGATGAAATCAATAATGGTCATTACTTACAACTGTTTCGAAAATATTCAAATTTGCGAAAACCAAATACCCCACACAAGCGGTTTTTTATCAATTATAAAAGAAGAGCATGCACCACCCAATGTGTAGGAATTAATACATTTGGTAAAATGCCTGCCCAAATAGCTGCACATCTAAAACTTAAAAATTCTAGGGAGTACACAGGTCATAGTTTTAGTAGATCCTCCGCTACCATATTAGCCGATTCTGGGGAAGGAATTTCCAATGTTAAGCGACTTGGAGGATGGAAATCAACGGCTGTCGCCGAGAGCTACATAGAAGAATCCATTACCCAAAAAAAATATCAAATAAAATATGGAACATAAAAAACGGCTCTTCTGAGTTAAGCCAAACTTTATTAAATAGTAAAACAAGTCACCCGTTGAATGAATTAACCTGTTCTACAATTAATTTAGAAAATATTAATAATTGTTCCTTTGTAATAAACATTAATAAAAATTAATTTAATAATCATTGTAATCTTTCCGCACGCTAATAGAAAAAATATTGCGCAATGTAATTTGTCCGTACTTATTGCTTGCCCGAATTGCAGTAGCATGCGGAAAAATGTAACTTTACGCACTGTTAGGAAAATATTTACTTGGAAATCGACGGTCAATATTTAATTAAATTAATCCCGACGCATTCGCCATTTTTGCAAAAATATTTTATTTATATTCTTTATTTTATTTCTTTTTAAAATTGCAATTATTTCATAAAATTAATCAATAAGTTATTATATATGGTGAAAAATCAACTTTGACGATTTCTTTTACCAAAATAGTCAAAATAGCAAAAGTACGGATGTTATTTAGAAATTTTTTTGAAATATAATATGCACATGTTTATTGTTAGATTTTGTTTTATTATCTAAACTTTTAGAAAATTTGCAAATTATTAATTTTAATAAATATTTTTAGGAAATTGGTAATAAATTGTTAATTGTTGGCAGATTGAAATTATTTTCTTAGCATGGGGGCAGAATTTGTAAAAAAAGAAAATTTATCAAAAAAAAATTTTTTTACTCAATATTTAATTAAATGGGGTAGTTCCAACGGGAAATCCTTTTTTTTTGTTCTAGAATCTGTAGGGTGTCCCCTTAAGTCAAAAGTTTTTTTCCCATTGTTTTTGTAATTTAAGTAAAAAATTAAAAAATTAAATGCACTTTTTTATTAGAATGAAAGTTGAGTGAAAAAAAATCACATTCTACAATTTATACATGTTTTCCATGATTTTAGACCAAAAAAAAAATTTCCCGTTGGAACTACCCCTTTTAATTAAATATTAAGATGTTAAGTAAAAAAAATTTTTTCTTTTGAAAAATTTTCTTTTTTTATAAGGTACAAATTCTACCCCCATGCTAAGAAAAAAAACAAACATAACATATAATAACCTTTATCCTACCAAAAAGTACGTCACTGATCGACTAGGAACTTTAGGCTAATCTGGTTGCCTAATTTAATTTATTATGTTGTGGTTGGTAACAACCAGCGTTTTTAGAATCTGTCAAAAAAAGTTGCCAGATTTTGTTTAAATTTAGCTGAATTACAAAAATGACAAAATCAACACAAATTGTTAATTTGGCGTTTTTATTAATTGTTGATTATGTCATTTTTTTAATGAAGGTAAATTCAAACAAAATCTGGCAACTTTTATGACAGAATTTAGTGCATTTCTTTCAAATTTTAGGTTATGGGCCCAAATTGTAAATATTATCACTAAGGATTTATTTACACAAATTGAATGTTTAAAGTTTAACCTGTGAACTTGTCCTAATATGTTATGGGGTTATGGGGTTTTTAAAATGGGTACTAAATTTCCTAATCATTTATTAAGCTAATAGCTGGATGAGTAAATAAATACTGAAGGGTATTAGAGCTTTAAGGGCATAAAACTTTTGTATTTATTGAGTTTTTATTTATTTTTTGCAAGAAAAATTTGTTGTAACAATTTTTTACAACTACAGCTACTTTGTTGTATGGTATCTATGTACTCATAGAACAAAAGTGTGTAACCAGTGGCGTATCACAAAAAAATAAAATACTTCTAATGCATATTTTTTCTTTATATTTGGGAAAATATTTTTTTTAATATTTTTCTGTTACACCTTATGTCAAAAGATATTCAGTATTTTAACATATTACATTAATTATATAACATCCTGTTTGTAATTTATAAATATTTTTTTATTTATCGTAAATCATTATTCCCACAAAAGATTTTTGAACATCAGGCACAAACTGTTAAACAGTAGCCGGTTAACCACAGGTGGCCTTGACTCATCATCGGCTTAAATTTTAAGATCATTGCCAACTGAAAAAAAGGAAAGTTTTTGTGGGGAAAGCCGCATGCTACGACCTTGAATTCCAAAGCTGTCTAGATGAAAGAATAGATGCTTGCATATTAATAGGTATTTGATTTACAACTTTTATTGTGAATATTTGTTTTTTAAGATGGTGTAAAAATAGAATTATGAGTGAGTTTTTATTATATTTTATTATTTTGTATAATAATTTTTTTATGTATTTGACTTTATTTTTTATATCGGTGCAAATATGTTTTTTTATTTACAAAAACTAGGTATTAGTAAGTAATAAAAACTGAATAATTCACATAACTAAAAACCTATTTTCTTACCAAATTTCTGCATTTTCACAAATAATTTTTTTTCAATAAACAGCGGTTTGTATTTTGTGTCTCTTTTCGAGCACTACTAAACGAAAAATGCAATAAATTTATCATTCAGGTCGAATTATTATCCATTGGCAATGCATTCAGCGGCAATTTGTAAATTAAATTGGGAAATACTGTACACGTTTCGACATATATATTTAACTTAAAATTTGAGTTAAATACCCGCAATTAATGCAGTTATTATCACTTATTAGTTTAAGTGAAAAAACTAACAGGCCATGTTTGTTTTTTTTAGGAAAACTTTTTTCTTAAAAAATTCGAAAAAAAACTCACATGTCTTTCAACGTCCCTACATATTTAAATGTTAAACTATTGAATTTAAATAAAAACCTCGTTTGTATTTTATATACCTTAGTAAAATTTACATTTCAAACATTAAACACAAGGTTGTATCTATTGGCAATTATACACAAATATGTTCATCTCTTCCTTAACAAATGAATTATTCTTTTTAATGTGGTATTCGCTTATACAGGGTGAGTCGAGGGTGAGTGTATACGATTCTCCAATAATTTTTGAATAAAATACTTGGTTTTATTTTTTAAATTTATTTACTTATTTTTTAAATTTTAATTAAATTGCTCGACGAACTCTTTTTTTCGGTTAAACACTCCCGTTTGTAGTAAACTGCTTGACTGTACGGCGAAATGAGGTACGCGATCGAATTTTATCCGGAAAACGCTGAGCGTAGATATTAACAGCATCGTCAAGATTCCTGCCTGCTTCTCCATAAATCAAAATTATTTCTATTTTTTCTTCCACTGTTAAAAAATCCATTATGAATAACTGCTTAACGAAAGGAGGTCTTTTTGTTTGCAAATTAATCTTCGAAGTAAATTGATTAAATAATGCTAAATTATAAATAGTTTTTTATACCTCAATAATAATTTTTATTTATAACAAAATACCTCAATTATGATTAAATTAATTAATTGACAAAATAATGTTTTTTTCCTTAAATGAGGTATTTTTATTAAAAATAGTACAATAATTCTTTAAATTAAAGGATTTAATGCTGGCAGTTAAAAAGTGACCATGGTGCGCAATTGATAATTATCACCGATTGAAATAATGTATAAAATTTAAACCAAAGGAAACTTAAATATTAGTTAAAAAATCTTGGGTAATCAAATTTAATTTAATAAGATAATTATTACCAAAAAAAGTGATATTTTTATAGAACAATTAATTATTGCAGAATCGTATAAAAAGAAAAATTGAACAAAATTGATTTTTTTTCATTACAGCGCCATCTATTACAAATATGAAAAAATGTTTTAGACAAAATCTACCTATTTTTAGTCGAATGATCCGAATCTGCAATAAAAAATAGGGTGTTCCATTGGAAATTTTAAAGTTACCCCCTGTTCCCCCTATAAGGAGGACATTTTTTCGTAAAATGCATACTAACTGAGTTAAATAACTCACCCTGTATGTGTCGTAAATAACACTGGCGATACATTGAACAATTACTTTAGATTTTTTTATTTGTTACATTTGTTTATTTTTTCAATATAATTTTTGAACTTTAAATTGATAATAACGTTGTTTAATATGAAATAAAAACAATCCACGCACAATACTGATATTACACATTGAAAGTTCCAATTGTTCTTTAAAAAACTTTTCCGCACTCGCCATAATATTATGTATAAAAACATGTTTAGAATGTATTGATTAGTGTAATTATTATCACCCATTGTAACACAATTGTCAGAGACGTTGACATTGACATTACTTCATAAATACTAAATAAAAGACAATCCAATGTTCACCACTGATTACAAATAAAAACGTTTATCTCCACGCGGTCTATAATTTAAACTTTATTGTTGTCAACATTCGATAAAGAAATACCTTGTTATGGCCTAGGTCGATAAAAAATTTTATGAGGCAAGTAATTAGTTCGGTTTTTTTTTCGCTAGGGATATTGTTTTGACAAATTAATCCTTTTCTAAGAAATTAACGTACTAAACTGGTTTAATTTATTTATAATAAGCACTAATTTGTTTGTTTTACTGTTAATGTTTAATATTTTTCATTACTGTAAAATTCCTGTAAAATTAAATATGAATAATAAAACAAAAAGTGAGGTTAGGCAACCAAGAAAACGCACGATTCTTTTTCTACGATTTAAACTATCTTTAAGTTTTAATTTGTTTTAAGTTTTCAGTGAAATTAAACATTCCAAACTACCTATTTTTTAAATAAAAATCCTAACAAATTGAAATTAGATACCTACCTATTTATTAAACAATTAATTGAATTCAATGTAATAACAAAAATCCATTTCTACTTAAATAATGTTGCTAGGTATTGTCAAACTATTACTGCTTCTAAAAGCAATAATAATTCTTGTACATTTAATGTAATTTTTAGCTAATAAATAAATGAGATTCTAAAAAAGTGAGGTTAGGCCGCTTTGATGTTGAATTAAATTGACCTATATAAAGTGCTTTGAAGATAAAATGTTGTATGCCATTCGGCCAAGAAGTGCCTACTTCTTAACCTAATGACATAAATAACTATTTTTTACATTTTTTTTGTGTTGATTGATATAAAAATTGTATGGGGTCATTCCATGACAAACGATACTAAGAGTGAAAAAATAATTATGTCCTTTTCGAATTAAATCTGATGAATTTTGAAAGAAAACATTCCAAATTATAATGTGCAAAAAAAATCTGTACTCAAGTGAACTGGCTGAATGACCATTGTGCCTCTAACTATTGGAAATACGAAAAAAAAACTGTCAATCTGTCAACAGTTTTGCCACGTTGTGATTTGAGATTATTTATCGTAGTATTGGTGGATTGCGTCACAGTCCCGAAAAATTGATAATTATCCGAAACGAAAAATCATGTAATTGTTTTATTATTATACCTTACAGATTGATTACTAATCAATGATTGGTGTAATAATATTTAGTAAAAGTAACGTTATGGTGGTAATGATTTAAAATGCTAACTAATATCTGAGCATGAGACTAATTTGATATGTGTTTTTCTTGATTAAAAACTGTAACACCCGAAACGTTTCGGGTGTTACAACTTTTTTCATATGTCGATATATGTGTGTGTATTGCTTGAAGAATGCCGATTTTTGGCAATAATAACGATTTTATCTTTTTTGCCGATTTATCAATCGCACTTGAAGCTGCTTAAGTGTTGTTTAAGGAGAATTCATTCTATTTATGTTTATTTGTTACTAAGTTATTTTGTAGTACCTATAGAGACTTATAAAACACCGATTTTGTCCATATAAAGTGTTTAATTTGTGTACTTGTAACACCCGAAACAGATCCATGGTAACACCCGAAACAAAGTAAAATTTTATAAAAAAAAATTTTTTAAATTTTAATGGCTCAGAATGCATTTAACAAAATTTAATTTAATCGAATTTAATAACCATAAACAAAAAACTTTGGCCTCCATTTCAACGATTACAAATTTCGAAACTTCAACGCGCATAAAGTGCATTGCATTTACCATGTAAAACCGATTAATTTACGATTCCGAACGATTCTTTTGTGGCAATTCGCTTGCGAAACTAAAATATCGTACTTGACTTAAAAATGATTAACATCGTAATGATACACCCGACTCGCTGTACTTGGCAGTGAAAAAGTAAAAATGAGAACAAGAATGCTAAAAATTTAATATTTTTTTAGAATCATTAATTAATACTGGTATTTTAAATGTCAACAAGCTTTAAATACGAGGAGGGTCCGGTTGTCATAAAATTTTCTTTATTATATTGGTATACATGCCCCCGAAGTATGATAAAAACTTTAGCTGTTTTCATTGTTTACTTTGTCTGTGGCAGCCGCTAAGGTTAGACGTGTTTTATGAGCTCGGCGATTTTTCGTTCGTTAAAAGAAATGGATCAAAGAATTTGTATCCAATTTTGCTTAAAAATTAAATAAATTCTGTGAAATGTTAACAAAGGCCTATAGTGAGTCTGCTATAAGTAAAACAAGAGTTTACAAGTGGTATAAGAGTTTCCAAGATGGCCGTGAAGACGTTGAAGATGACGAACAACCGATAAAAACATGGAAAAAGTGGAAGAAATGGTTATAAACCATCAGAGAAGTCGCTGATGATGTTGGTATATCGATTGGCTCATCCCATGAAATTTTTTCGAATGTTTTGGGTATGAAACGCGTGGCAGCAAAATTTGTTCTAAAATTGTTAAATTTTGAACAAAATTTTTGGCCAAAAACAATACTGTAATAATGCCCCAGCCTCCATATTCGCCAGACATGCCTCTGTCTGACTTTTTCCTATTCTCAAAAATAAAGGGAACCTTAAAGGGCCGTCGTTTTGCAAGCATAGATAACATTAAAAGCGCATCGCTGAAAGAACTAAAAGCTATCCCAAAGATCGAGTTTTAGAAGTGTTTCGAGTATTGCAAGAAGAGCTGGCACATGTGCATAATATCCAATGGGGAATATTTTGAAGGCGACAACATTAATGTAGACAAATAAATAAATATTTGTTTCAAAAAACGAAAATTCCCGATATTTTCTGAACACACCTTAACAATAAATACACATTTTAGTAATGATTAACGTGAAAAGTGTAAACATTTCAATTCAGTAAAAATCGTCATACAAATAAATCGTCTAAATTTAAACAGCATTTAGCATTATTAAAAGGTTTGATTCTTTAAAGTCTCCACTCAACGGTAAAATACTACTACTACTATTATGTATAATATTATGAATTATGAATTCGTAGGTATATTTTGTTGTTTAAAATGCAGTTGTCGGCGTTTTTTAGAGAACTCAAATATAAAAATTGTTGATTTTAAGGTTATGTTTGTGCAAAAATTATGTTTTACTAATTTCTTAAAAATGTCCAAACTTAAATATAAATTATATTAGGTAAAGTTATCATTACTTAATTTTGCACCAACACATGTTCTTACCGAATTGGATCCTTTGGCAAAACATGAAAATGCAACGATTTAGTTCTTGAATTTTATTTACAATTAAAAACGCAATAATTCACCATGATCCCTTAGATAAAATGCACACACTAACGTAACTATATAAGCAATCGAAATTGAGTAGGTACTAAAAAATATGACCAAAAACTGATCAAAACCCTTTTAGAAAATACGTTTGTCAGTTAATTACTATTTTTTTTTATTTTACAGGTGAGTGTCCATTTTGACCTCTACACATCGAAAGGTAAAAAAAAACCATAAACTTTTGAAATCGGCAAGCCCAATGGGTATGGGAATTTCCCATGTTAACAAAATTTTTATGGAACAAGAAAAAGTTAAAATATTACAAAGGATTAAAATTTATTAGTAGGTAATTTAAAAGGCAATAAAAACCCTATTAATTTTTAAAGTTATTAAAAAAATATATAACGTACTTTTTTTGCTGAAACTTTTCCACTAAAACCGATATTTTTTACCAAACTAAGTTCACAATACTATTATTCTTTTACGTGCATATCAATAGTAATTACCCGCAGAAAATAAATAAGCACGATCTCCTTCAAGACTGAGTTAACAAACACCCGTGCAATTTACCTTGAATATTACTTGTATATTGACCCCCTCCCCATTTCAGTTATTGCAAAACATACCATACATCGGTTTTTTTAAGACTTAATGTCACTCCTATCTGAACAAAAATTGAATGAATTATTAAGGCAATTTAATAATATTGTCGATTTTTACCAAATTTAATAAGAAAAATATGGGTCGTTTTCAAAAAACACCCGCCTTCCGCTGTCCGTAAGTTTGAATTCCAATAACTTTGTCTTATTGATTTAAAAACCAAGTGAAAGCCTAACAAGCCCTTAGTAAACTCTTTCAGAAAATGTTTGTTTAGTTATTTCAAAATATTTTTTTTTTTAATTTTGAAACTTGTGAAACACACATTTTCGCATGTCCCATTAGCGTTTTATAAAACTTACATACATGTTTTTTTTTAATATTGAATAACCAGAACTTTGTGTTGCTTTATAGCAATCCATAACATCCTTAGTTAATAAAGTAAACAATTTATATATAAAATAATTAATTTTAATCTACTTTTTTTAAATTTGACTCATGAATGTCCCAGACATTTTTTCCGTTGCGTTACGTCCGTCGCGTTACCGATAGAATATTAAAAAAACATATACATGGCAACTTTTTTGGCACTCACTTGATCAACAAATGATGTTCGGACGTACACATTACCCAGCTGAATTTATTTATTCAATCAGGAAGAAGATATCGGTTGAAAAAGGTGCGTGTAACGCGAATGTAGTAATTATTTGTCCGCTAAGTTACTCAAAAAAATAATAAAAATAAGGTAAGAAAAAATACTATTTTTCATGTTTATGTTTATTTTAGGGCACTAAAGCTCATTGAGAGTAATTAATGACTGTAATGTCTTATTATTATTTTTTAAATATGGTTTCACAAAACTTTTTCCACTGCGTTACCGAGTCCATTATGTTACCTTATGGTAACGCAATGGAATTTAGGGTAACGCAATAGAATTTTTCGACAACAAAGTGGATATTTACCGTCGCTTTTATTAAAAGTAGTTTATGATAAACCAATTTAAAATTATTTGTGATTACAACTCATAATATAGATTACATCCAATGGAAAATTACACGCAATATACAAGTACTAAAAGGGATCTTCACCAGCTTATAGTCAAAGAAAAAGGGTGTCTACAATTTAGAAATCTAAGTTGTTATTCTGCAAGTGAGCACCACAACAAGGGATTTTGTTTATGTATTACTCTGATTTGTGTACCCCGGTCCGTTGTGATACCAATGTCTATTTCGTTTTTTAGTTTTTGTTATTTTATTATTATTATTAATGATCAGTAACTTGCAAATTGAAAGAAGAAAAAGTTTCGTGATTATTGCTTATCTTTTTCAAACCAAATGGATGCTATTTTCAAAGACAGGAAAATTAACTACTACTATTTCGTTTATAAAACTTGATACATTTTATACTATTAATTAGAATGATGTATCATGTATACTATGTATTGAACATTTAATTTGATTTAACTAAACTTTAAGTACATAGTTCAGGGGTCCAAAATAAAACCACATCAAAGTCTATTTTATTAACATTTTCAGAAATTAAAAATTCGCTATTCAAGTATTTCCTTGAAAAAAAGAGACGTACCTTAATCAATTAACTGTACTGGAATTTTAATAAATGTAAAAAAATTTGCTAATAAAAATATTGGACTGTCATGTTTGATATTGGACCCCTGTATTATCTATATTTTTTTTAATATTGGTACTTAAAATTAACGCTCTAAACTTTTTTGTAAAATGACTTTGTTGATTTGGGCAAATTTGGGCCAAGGTGTTTTATTTTACCAATATCAATATTATAATTTTTTTTTGTAACAAGCAATAAAAAAATTATCGTTTGGCATCACAGCAATTAATTTATTGCCTAATGATATTTTAATTTATTTAAGTAATGATGGATATGTTTTTTGATAAAAAAAATATATATATATACAGGGTGTTTCTACTCAAAATGAATAATACAATTGACGCCATTAAATTTTGAACAATGACAGATTACTACAAATTGTTAAATATTTCTTAAATTATGAACTTTAAGTATAGGGAATAGTTATCGAAACATTCGACTAAAAATAGGTATATTTTGCCTAAAACATTTTTTCATATTTGTAACAGATGGCGCTGTAATGAAAAAAAAAAATTTGTTCGATTTTTCTTCTGTATACGATTCTGCATTAATTTTTCTATAAAAATATCACTTTTTTTTGGTAAAAATTATCTTATTAAATTAAATCTAATTTTTTTTAAGTACCCACGATTTTTCCTTTGGTTTAAGTTTTATACATTATTTCATTAGGTGATAATTAATTTTAATCCTAATTGAGGTATAAAAAATGGTATATAATTATAAATAATAATTATTATTGAGGTAGGTATAAAGAAACTACTTATATATAAACTATAGTTTAGCATTATTTAATCAATTTAGTTCCCCCTTGTTCCCCTATAAGGAGGAGAGTATGAGGACCAATTTTAGTACTGATTGATTTCCCCTCTCGAATCATTTAATTTTTATTTTAAACATTTTTTTGAAATAACATGGATGGACATGGAACGCATTTAAAATTTCAACTCGATATCTTTACCCGTTCCCCAGAATCTTTTAATGGACCACGAATTCGAAACACCTTGTATAGGCTTATGAAAATTGTTAGGCGCTTGAAAAAAAAATCATGTAAACTTTTGTTTTTGAATTATCGGCCTTCTTTTGTTTTTACATAAACCTCTTTGATACATTTTTAAAAATATAAAAAAGCTTGTATAAAAAAGTATTTGATCTTTAAATAGCATAATTATAGATAAATGTTAAAAAAAAATTAATTTAACGAATAAGTTAATAATTATTAAATTGGAAGATTTTATTTATTTAAATCAAGTTTTTTTTAATAAAAACTTAAAAAAATTTAGGTAGATTTGTATTAAAAAAATTCCTAATTTATTTAAAAAAATATTTTTATCTACTTACCTTCTTTTATTTTCACTAATAAAACAATTTTACACTCACGATTTTTCTTTTAAAAACAGCAGTTTCTTTCAAGTAACCCACCACTAACTAAACTTAACTCGAGTTTCAGTCACACAAACAATTTTTACGAATCGTTACCTATACCAATCGACTTTATCCAATGTCATTAAACAGTGTGTATCGGCCAAATGAAATAAATCCGATAATACCTAAATGGAGGCGTGTTCCAAAAAACGCTCGGACACGTTGATTGGTGTTTTTAGTTGCGCATTTTCAGTACAGGGTGTGACAATTTTTATGTTCATAAATAATAAATTAGATATATTTTGGAATGAAATTCCATTTGTACTTTTGGAAAAGAGTCATCCTTTGAAGCTTCCTGTGGATTGGAGCCTCTAAAAATTTTCTTCGATGTTTGAATTTTACTTTGAATGCTTTCTCCTAAATAACCCTTAGCAGAAGATGTTGAAGACCATCCCCCCAGTCTTTTCAAATCAGGGATACTGCCCCCATTATCAACCAACATGGTAGCTACACTCCGTCGCATACAATGTTCTGTGTAGCTATTGTAATCGGGAAGCTTCAAATATTCAGCAATTTTTCTCGGCAAACTATAAAATGTGTTGATCCCCACCGGTTGCACAGTGCATTTATCATTCCGGTAACAAACGAAAAATCTGGAATGATTCGTGTTTTGTGGTCTTAATTTACGATACTTCCGATGCAACGCAATTCCGTTCGCTTCCGAAGTTATGCTTTCTTTTCGTTTTTGTATTACGTAGTGTTACGATAACAACTGATTCATTCTCTTCTATATCGTTCATTGTTAGTGTTCGTAATTCTTCCCCTCGCATTGCACCATTTAAAGCAAAAATTAATGCCACTTTCATAAATAGATACGATTCATTCGAAGCGTCATTTCGAAACTTCATAATTTGTTCAATTGACAACACTTTTGACTTTTTAGGTTCATATCCTGCATTCTGTTTTTTCAAAAATGCAATTAATTGCTTGTATTTTGAAATGTCACTGCCTTCATATGTTTGCAACGTACTCTTCAGCATCGTATATGTTGACCACAATGACGATGCTTTCAGATTTTTGGACTAAAAATATATGAAAAAATTCGAAAATTTATTTTTTTAAAGCATTAGCTTCTTACCTTTCCCACAAAAACGCTAGCATAACATTTTCACTGACACCTTTTACCCCTTGATTGTTTCTCTATTGACAGACTTGTTCAAAAGTTTTATCATATATATATATATATTTTTCTTTTGACTTAGATGGAAGCAGAAACAATTTTTGTTAAAATATTCCTAAGTTATCCATTTTTTCCAATAGGGATACAAAAAAATAGCATGTTCAACTCGTAAGGAAAGTTATTTTCTTTTTCTTTACTTTTAGAATTGCTATAAAAATTACAAATCAATTTTTTTTGCGTTTTCCATAAACTTCTAATGATAAAGTTTCGTGAATCACCCTTATATGGCCAACTACCAACTATGGTACCTAAAAAAACAATACGCACCAAATTTTAACAACAGTAAGTATATTAAGAACATTAATATTATTTTAAAGCTTTTTTTTTATTGATTCTCATATTATTAAAGGTTCCTTTTGGACCACCCTGTATATTTTAAATATGCCCGGTAACATAAATATTTCCTAAACGATTTTAGGCCACATTTATAAGGGTAACCGTTCGTAGTTTTTCACGAAGTTATATAATGGTTTTTAAAATATTTCTGTTACCTTGTTATAAAACTTGGGTTTCTAAACAGGAGCTACTCGTGGAAAAAATCTTCATTATTTTTGTTGTGTTTTTTTTAAAGGTGCCCTTGTGAATTAATTAGTAGGCAATAGAAAAATATTTAATAAATTTAATAAATATGTTATGATGTTATTTAAAATATCTTTTATTTGCGTAATAGAATTTACCAGTGCCATTAAAATAGAAATTATTTCTTTATAATTAATTATT